AGTTTATTAATCTCACAACCTATTTTTACAGATATATTTTCTATATGTGAATTCAGTAAACCAGTGTTTCCTTTTGAAAAATGGAAAAGAAAATTCCTTCTTGAAAATCATACAGCTTCCCTGCATGGATTGTCAGCAAAATTTGAATCTTGGACATAGATCCAAAACCCAGACCTCTACCAATTGAGCTGTTACTTTCTAGTTTAGTCAGCCACTAGAGGGGGATGAGACACACATATTTCCAGTGAGTTACACTCTTTACTAGATAGCAGCAGAATGTTGGAGATCAGGATTTCTGGATTCTGTTTCTGGCTCAAGGAAAAGTGTGTGTGTGCGGTTACAAACAGATTAGCAAAAACAAAGATTTGACATGTTCCTCTGAGAAGCAGTCTAGGTGAGTAGATTAGAAATCTAGGTTCTTTTCTACTTGCCCTCAAATGGATTCTTTTCAACATCACCACTATTGTTATGTAAAATGGGGGAATGATACTTGCTACCTTGGAGAGTAGGAAAAAGATGAGGTGATGAGGTAATATTTTTATTGGACCAACTTCTCTTGGTGAGAAACTGTAGGAGTAAGACTACTATAGGACTAGGGTCTGTTGCTTTGCTCAGTAATAAGTGCAATGAAGTCCACAGAAAGCATAAGTGAGACAAACTCCTAGCTCATAGAGTGGTGAGAATATCAAAGCTGCTCCTATGGTGCCAGGAAATTCAGGGCTGTGTCAATGTGACCCCATGCATCCAATAAAGTATAGAGATAACGCTTTTTTTCCATTAGCATATTAAATATATATTTTGCAACCCTAACAAATGAAAGCTTGTGTATGTTGGTTCTGGTCTCATACACAAAATGAAATCAACTGAATTGAACTGAGCTCAAGTTTCAACATCAGTCAGGTAATTTTGGAAATATGAGAGATTCCCTAATTCATAACTACTGTGGAAAACAGTAGTGCCAAGTCACTGGAAGGTTGCTAAGCAACATGAAGTTAACCCATAGACAAACACAATTTTGCCAACCTGATGAAGGCGTGCAACTGGAGGTGATCAAATGTTAGCAAAAGCAAAAAACCAGGTTGGCGAAAGAAAGAATTAAAGACAAAGGCAGTGCCAAAACTGAGTTAAGCAGCTTGTTCATCAAATGTCATGCTTGTGTTAATGTGCATCATTAAAAAAAATTTCTTTGCAGGTATTTGCTGTCAAGGGAAAAACATCCATTATATATAAAAAATAACTAATATGACTCCACCACAGACTGAGAAACAGTTTTTCAGTAAGGAAGCTGTCTATGAAAGTTGCATAAAATGCACCAAAAAATGAATGGAAGCTGTGGCCTAGAATTAAAACAAAAAAAATCAAAATTTGCATAAATTGAAAGTTCAACATGATACTACCAATGACAGTGAAATGCACATCCATAAGATGCTGAGGGCCTGCAAAGCCCAATGACCTCACTAACAGAATTGAACAATTACACTGAGAAAATTCCAGCATGAGGAATATGTGAAATCCCTAAAAAGTATAATGGTAAGTGTATGGACTAATGTTTGTAAGAGTAAGAAAGATCTAACTATCAATACTGAATTTGAATTTACAGAAAAGTTAAAAAACAACATGTGCAGGTTACTACAAAATGATTAGACAACACAGAGGTCATGTTGAATACATCACTTATTTGACGCGGACTGCAGTTTGCCTAAAACCCACTGAGAACACTAAAATAAACTGCAAAACTAGAGATTCATGCAATAAAGAAAGTACCATTTCTAAAGGTTGACCAAAAAGTCTTTGAGCCAAACCATAGAAAATTGAATCATATGCTGAGTGCTAGAACTTTCTTGGTTCATTCAGTGGTGCATCAGAAAACTAGATGGTAATCTGAGAATTTCACAAACCCAAAGGAACTAAATACAAATACAAAAAGAGAACAGTTTTATCTGCCAATTTAAACTGAAATAATGGGAAGAATAACAAAGTAAAATGGTTCTCTAAATTGGGTGTTGCAGCAATCTTCTGGCTAATACCTCTTGAAAAGACAAGTTCCAAAATACACTATTTAGATGACAGATTCTTGAGAGGTTTCAGAGGCGTAGCTGTATTAGTCTCTATCTGCAAAAACAACAGAATCCTGTAGCACCTTAAATACAAAGATTTATTAGGGCATAATCTGTTAGGGTACGTCTACATAGCCCCCTAGTTCGAACTAGGGAGGCTAATGAGGGCGACCGAAATTGCTAATGAAGCTTGATTAGCATATTCCCGGCCGGTCGCCATTTTGGAAACTGACTAGCCCAAAGTAACTGCCCACATCTACACGCTACAGAGAAGTGGGATTCTGAGATAAACTCCTTAGTTCAAATTAACCATTAAACCTCATTCTACACTTCATTAGCAATTTCGGTTGCCCTCATTAGCCTCCCTAGTTCGAACTAGGGGGCAGGGGCGGATATAGGGCAGGGCGAATGGCGCGGCCACCCTGGGCCCCGTGCTTCAGAAAGCCCTGCGCATGTGCCGTGGCGCCGCTGCACATGGCGTCACTGCGCATGCGCCGTGGCAAAGGGGGGGCCCTGCGGAATTATGCTGCCCGGGGCCCCGCAAAACAGTCATCTGCCCCTGCTAGGGGGCTAGTGTAGACATACCCTTAGTCTCTAAGGAGTCACAGGACTTCTACTAGATGTACCCTAACAGATTATGCCCTAATAAATCTTTGTCTTTAAGGTGCCACAGGACTCTGTTGTTTTTGCAGACAGAGACTAAGACTTCATTCGGGCATATGGTCTGCACTAGAAGAGATCAATAGACTAATACAGTTCAAAGGAACTTCTGGTAGAGGAGTGTATAATGACTATATATTAGTGTGGGAGCTACACCAGATATGAATGACAGAAGGCTACTCAAATATACGTAACAGTGGTTAAAATTGAAGGAAATGTCTCTTGCAGTCTATTTGAAACTGGGGTGAACTAGTTTTCAATGAAGGAATAAAATCTGAAAAAGAAAAATTAATAGCAACATGTTGTAATGAATAGCAAAAATTTTGCTAGTTATAATCAGTGACATGTCTTAACAATTAATAGCAAACTGAAAAATGCCAAGATCACACAAAAATCTACACTGCTTGATGTAAAAATTCATCTCAATAAACCCAGATAGTTAAAAATGTATACTTGCATATAGAAAGAGTCTGAGGTTACATCCTGGATGTTTAACATGTAAATGAATAAAGTGTTTATTTTTAAAAGTCTTGGTTAAAGTAGACAAAAACCCTTGACCACAATCTAGCAATGCAGATTATGTGAAATTCCTTCAAGGATAAAAAAATTGTTGTTGCATTTCCAAAAGTGTAATTTGAAGCAGAAATGTAACTCAGACAGCAATATTTCTAATGGCAGATATACTGTCACAAGCATGTTTGCATAATACAGTCTCCAGCCCACCCACCGCCAAGGCCCCTGAAAATAAATATATATAACAATTTTACTAGTTACGATTAGTGACATGTCTTAACATAGAATTATATAGAAAAATTATACTTAGTAGGACTATTAAAATCCTATGCAAAGTTATTAAAAAGAAAGAACAGAAAGAAAATACAGAAACCAATTATGTCTCACAAAGATAAGGACTTAGGTTAATGGAGGAGTGTTAATAAAAGCAAAAGTCCATAGTGCTCTCTAAATAAAGAAAACAAGTTTTGCAACACAGAAAGAAGTATCTGAATGATGAATGTGAATGTCATTTTCCGGGCCTAACAAAATCATGGATAAAAGGCAATACTGCAAGTACTGAACAATTTTCTGGAGAAGATGACAATGAACAAAAGAACTTGTGAAACCAGAGTAAGGATGGGATTGACCTGTTTATTCAGGAGGATGCTGAAGGTACCAAGGAACTGTATATTTAATTTACTGTCAATATTCTCCAATACAAGCTGAATGCTGGTCATTTCTAGGAACAAAGTAATGTTTCCAAAATATGCCATAAGTGGAATTATAACAACTAATAATTTTACTAAAAAGAGAATTTAAAGACTTTGCTGATAAACACAAACTTCATCATTACACTTCAGGTCCAGGGCTTATTTTATTTATATAAAAAATAAAATCTTTCCTATTAATTGAAACTACCCAAGTTGCATATGTACACTGCAAGCCTGTGTAACTACCTGACCTTATTACTGTTAAACCTTCTTCTTCCTCCTCAATCATTTCTGTCTGCCACATTCATTTGTTGCATCTTTTTGCAAACTCCTAAGACCTGGGACTATATCTTCCTGCGTATGTGTTTACAATGGCTAATACATTGAAGCTTGATCCTGATTGGGGCTTTCCAGTAGTACTGAAATTCTATTATTAATTATTATTATTATTATTGAAGGATATCCCCATAGTCAGTCTCTTCAGAAAACCCCCAAGATATCATGGAAAACACAAAACCAAGTTCTTATTCAGATCATGGAAGAATGGGGTCGTTAGCACAGAAGAGGAAACCACACAAATTACTTTATCCTGGTTTATAGTATCTGACATCTCTCACACACATGTTTGAGAAGGGGGCCAGCAACCCCCAGCCCAACCAACTTTAATGTCTCTGTAAGAGCCGATGACCATATATGTACCATCTCCTCTGGTGCCACATTTAGATTACAGTGATGTATTTAAGGTCAGATAAGCTTCACTACCAGCTGTGTGTAAATCCAACTCCTTTATATTCTCTATTTCCCATTTTGAACTCTGAAGCAAATTAATGTAACTTTTAAGCTCTCATAATTTTTACACTGTACTTTTTCTGTAAATGTTTTCACAGATGGGTGCTTTGTGTTTCAGATTTTTCTTTTTTGAGGGGCTGAAACCCACCATTCCTTCTCCCTATGCTTGACCCTGACCTTTGAATTAGGGTGAGAATGAACTGTCTTAGAGGGTAATGGAAGTGGGAGATAGTTCTGTACAATATCTTACTTTATCATAATAGGTTATTGGTATAAAACATTGATATACCTGCAATTTCTTCTATAGAATTAGCTCTCATGTCCAGTAGAACAGTACCATTCAGGATACAACTTCTCAACTCAAACAAGCTATGAAGTGACAGAGTGGCAACGTATGGTTTGCTCCATCTCTCTCCACCATCCTCTACATCTTCTTCAAACTTCAACCATCTAAGCAAACAAATAGCTTAGTAAGCCTTTTGTATATAGGAAATGAAAAGTGAGTTATTTTCATGCATATTCAATGGACATCAAATATTTTGTTTGGTTTTATTTTACTTTGTATTTGTAGAAAACATGAGTACATTACCCTGCCCCACATCAATTTTGTCCCTTACCCATTTGTTGAACATTGATTTAATCCTGAAAGTTGAAGAGGGAAGCAGATAAATAATATAACATTTTGTTTTGCACAACTTTGGATAATGTCCTGTCATTGTTAAAAGTGCTTTGTGTGCCAGAATCATTGATTCTGAATGTTAGTAAAACTCTGGGAATGTGGAGCAGTAAAGAACTGCTACAGAATCAATATAAAACCTAGAAAAAAGTAAACTGAAAAAAAACCAGAAATTCCATCTTGTAGTGGAATACTGACACTCAAAAGTACAGATCTCCATCACTTGAGCCAGTGAAGTAACTGGTAGCAATAGTAAGCTGTTATCCTCTACATAGCCCAGGCACTAGAGAGGAATGACATATATGCTTTGTCAGTGGATTCACAGCTATTTAATGGCAGCAGAGAAACAAAAGGACTCAGGACTCCTGAGGATTCATTTCCAATTTTTGAAACACTATGTGCTCTAGTGTCCCCCACAAACCTGTCTCGCTACCTCTTCCTGTCTGTTCTGCCCCAGCCCCACTTTGTTCCTATACATCATCCCATTCCCCCAAGCTCTTTGACAAAGACCAGCTCTTGTTCTCTTTCCTTCTGTTCCTATCTACTACCCACTCTGCTCCTATCCAGTCTCATCCAAGCTCCTACTTTTCACCCTCTCTTCTGTCCAACTCTCCCATGTCCTTCTCTCTAAAACCTCCACTTCTATCTAACAGCCTTCTCCTTGGCTCCTGCCCCCTCTTTTTCTTCTTCTAACTCCCTCATCTCATGTGTCACTACCTCTGTCCCTTTACAGCTCCATTCCTTGCCTCTTTCACTCCTCTCCCTTTGCACCTCCTCCTCCCCCAGCCTCCTTCTCTCCCTTCACTGCTATCCAACTCCTGTCCCACTCCTCATGTCCACTGGCCACTCTATCCCAGATTTGACAACCTGTTCATCTCCTCTTTGCATGCCCTTCCCACAACTCACTCCTTAAACTTCTCTTTCTATATTCCAGTTGAGTCACTCCCTTTTTCTCCTCTAAGCTGCCTGGTCACCAGCAAGGTACAGGAAACAGTTTCCCTGCATTTAGTTAAGGTAAGCTGTGCCACAGTGGCTTATATCAGCTAGTAGCAGCAATTGCAGACACAGTCCTGCTCAGCCCTCTGCAGCCTCAGACTAGACCATGCTAAGTACAAAACAAATATTCCCAGATCTTTGCTGCTAGACTTTAACAAGCCTTTACCGAGCATATGCAAACTGAGATTTTTCCAAAGGCTTAGAACTTGGCCAATTTTTGTGGATTTCCATGGGGCAACAAAAGTTACACCACTGACACAAAGAATGTCACCAGCTAAATTATCTTGCTCAAAAGAATAGAGGTACCAAAGCTTCTCAATGAAACGACTAAGAATTTTTTAACATGGGCAAAAAAATGTTTCCTCTAATTTCCTTCTTGACAGCACCTGAACTATTTTAGTTGAAATTTTCTAAACAAAATTCAGCCTGAAGCAGAGACCTAGTATGGGAAGTTTCAGTCAAAGTTGGGATAGTTATAAGCAACTGAAAATATAGGAAGTATTAGGCACCACTATTAGCTCTGCTTATAAGGAGAAAGTCTGGACAAGAGAAAAGATACTAGTAAACACTTTAGGGAAAAAAGTCTTAGACTGCTATGCTACTTCTCCCCATCTATTAGCCATGTAATATAAATTGTAATTATACATCCTCAATTTATTTATATATTAGATAAACAGCCAAATTCTCTGCTGGTAAGACTGTAATTACTTCAGTGGAGTCACACCTGAAGAAAAAGTGACCTAAACTCTTTCCATACTACAAGGCATCATTCTATGCTGTCATTAATCTTACAGATAAGAGCCTCTATTTCCTCTAAAATGTTTCCAGAGTTTCCTATGCCATGAAAAAGTTATTATACAATGCCTTCCTTTAACCAAACATAACGAGGTTTTGGAGTCAGGAAGGAAGGATTCCCTGTGCTATTACTTGACTTCTGGTTGAGGTGAGATTAACGCAGTATACAGTTTTCAAATGTATTGTATATTCCACCCAAACACTGTGAAGTAGGGACATCGGTTCTGAAGTTTAATGGAATAAAACTTGAAAAAGGAAACAGACTACTTCATTTTCAGAAATTCATTCTTGTGTAGCTGGGGCTAATCCAACGCCTATGTACTCTATAATTCCCACATAAACCTGTAAATCACTTGAATGCTTCATGAGTCTTACTGGCACTCTATAGAAGATATTCAGAAACTGAAATTGCAGGGTTTGTGTTTCAAGTCTCACTCAGTTAAGCTTCAGATACAATCTTGGCAGAAGCTGAAGTTAATTAGCTACTTTTGCTAGCTAGTGCTTCATTTGTAGAAGCTCTATTTGAAGGCAAGGTACTATGTTATATAATGTACCTTTATAAGTGTTTCCTTCAACACCCAGTTAAATTGGGGTGACACTTTTTAATTAAATGTCTAATAAGGATGGAGGTAAGGGGCTGGAAAGATTTATTTTTGTTTAAGAGGCCATAAAATGATCACATTTGCAATTATAATTGCAGAGATAGTAGTTTAATCATAACACAGAAACTGAATGCAAACTCTCTGCTTCATTGCCTGTCTTTGATCACCCAACACTTTCTTGTGAATTCTTAGGCAATGTTAATCTTCATACAATATCAGTCAAGAGGCGATGGTTTTCTACTGATTTTTGTGCACCTAAGAATCATTATACTATTTTCCAAGATACACAACCCACAGACATCTATAGTATTCCAGGCTTTTGATTTCCCGAGACACTTTTTCAAAATTCACTCCCTTAGGACCTGCATAGGACATGGACCAAAAATGAGATACATGCAAAATATGACGTGAACTGAGTACACTCTTTGGTATGGTTCTCCTGAATATGCCCTAAGCTGTTCAGCTCTGTGTTTTCTGATCAAGAAATGGATAGATGGGTAGTATTCAGTGTTGTCTGTAATGAATATTGATGTGATAAAACAAGTGTAGTGACATAGCAACAAATGCCCCACAAATAAAATATCACTATTAACTATGTTTGTCATAATAAATGTGATGGATTCTATGTCTTTTCAGGGCAGTCAGCCCTTATCACCACCCAGACTGCAGTGACCCGTCCCTCCTCGGTCATCAGAGGCTCGCTGAGTGCTCTGGTGGCAGTTCAAAAGGGCCCAGGAGTCAGGACTCCAGCTGTTGCTGCAGTGGCCACAACAGTGGCTGAAAGCTCCAGGTCTGTTTAAGTCACCAGGCCCCACGGCAATTCCCCTCCTCCCCCATTGGCAGTCCTGTACAGTTAATACCCTGTTTCACAATATTTTGTTAAGATTTAATTTTCAGTTTGTAATTATTGCTCTTGTAGATGAGTACAAGCAGTGGTTTTCATGCAAATGTACTTTATTCCCAACACAACATTACACAAAGTGAACTGAACAATGTTAGAAAAAAACAGATGATGTGGTAAAATTCAATGTGAAAACTGTAATGTTCCATATTCCCTGGAAATGGCAAACTCTTCATAACATATTTGAGCCCAGATTTAGCATTCTATTCCTCGTATTCATTCATATTCTTCCTGGTGTCTTTTGCTTTCAGAATATCTAATGAAAACTCTAATGTTCTCTCTTTCATAACTAGTCTGCAGTTTAGGAAGACCTGCATCTTTGCACTGGTCCTTCTAATTATATAATGATATCAAAAAGATTTCAGATTATTTCTCCTCTCTCTTTGCAATGATGAAAGGTGCATTTACAGCAGAATTATGTAAGAGACTTTTACCTCCCAACTCCATGAAGTTGTGCCTCTGTGTTTGCAGCCCAAAACCTCACTGACCTTAATTTGCTGTCCTACTACATGAGATAATCACTCTAAGTTGTCCAGGGCACTCTTAACATTACTGCTTTCCAGAATTATTCTTCCTCTTTGATATTTGCATTTGGGTAGTTTTCTGATGTGTTAGTTTGCATTTTAACAAACTGAGGTTCAGTTTCTTATTTTCTAGCCATGTTTCTAATCTCCTTAGGGTCTCTTTTGCCTATTTTGTCTTCCCTTGTGTTCTGAATTCCTCCTAACAGATTAGTATCTGTGTGTAAACAGGATTTTAATCCCCTTTCTAAATCAACATTTTAAATAAAAATGGTCCTAAGATAGAGCCTTGAGATGCCTTAATAGACATTGTGTCATTATTCTATGTGTTTGGTCTTCACCAGTTTTCCATATATGTCAGCGGTTGTATTCAATTCAATCTAATTCATTCTAACAGTAAGATTCCCACTCTTTCTGTTTTTAGTACCCAAAATATATGTATGAAAAAATTATCTTTATTTCTTAAGATTTCATCTTGTATTACAGGTTAAAGGTTCTGATTGAGTGTTCCATCTCTTCTAAGAAATGCTTCCTGGACTATTTTTCTTATCTATATTTTGAGTTGGACACACTACCTCATGCGATGCTTGTTAATCACATCAGTGGATTGTTACATGAAACAAGGAATAAGCATCAGTAACAGAAACTCTTTATGGAACAAAAAACCTAGTCTTCATGCAACTATATTTAGTGATTTTATTTTTGTTTAAAAGAACAATGATGGATAACAATCCAGAGTTGGGTCTTAATCAAATCCCTGATTTTATCTCCAAACTTCAGAAATATAAAAGGTTTAGAAATCAAACCGAGTCCTGGATCCAAGTTTTTCCATTCATTTATAGTGGGCTGAATAAAAACAGAAATACACATTTTTGAGTGTACAAAATCCATGATAAATTTTGGCAGCTTGATACTTTCTTTTAGATGGGTAGGAGAAGAAACGTATGATCTCTCCTACA